CGCCGCTCTGATGTAATTTACAGATGATATTTTATTATTAGGTCATAGGAAGATTTATTACACGCATAACATTTTATGACAAGGGAAAATTACAGTTATTTAAAAGCGTATATAAAAATTAAAAACATCAATATCCTTTTGACACATACTTATAAATAAAGACTCATTTATTTAGATGTAGATGTAAAACAGAGTAGTTATAATTACTGACTAAATCCGCAGTAGATTTATAAGTTTCAACAAATGTTAAAAGAATTCTGTGATGACTGACTGGTGACTGGTGACTGGCTCCAAGAGCGAACGTACCTAATCTGTTTGTTCTGCACCAACTTATTGTTTTTTTGTAATCGCTAAGATAAAAATGCATAATATGCCGAAAATTAGCTAAGCCTTCAGCTTTTGTCCAAGATATTTTTTTATTTCATTATTATGTTTTGTTGCCGTTTTGGTGAATAAATAGTGACTTATATTTAATTAATATAAATTAAAATGAAAAGCTGGTATTATCAATAACGTTACTTATGTTCTAGCTTCGTAGAGATTGTAGAGTGAAATTGTATCCTAGAAGTGCATCTCAGACACGACAGCGCTCAACCAGACCTGCGGTCGCTGTCTCCATTGCATAGGCTATATTCTGGATGCTCAATTATCTCATTGAGAATTGTTGCTTCATTGCTGGTTTTAAAGTATCGCTAGAAGTTGTACGTAAATGCGTTAATTTTATTGACTTGATAGAGGGTATTGTACTCTCTTAACGAGGTGGGATGGGGAAGTCGTGCGGCGACTACAGTCGTGCTGTACTTAGTCAATACAATCATTTTGAACTTGTCATTTGGTTCAGGTTGTACAAACACTTTTGTTTTATGTAGGTCGAAACATAAATATTCATAAGATCATAATTTAACGCTAGGTTTCAAATTTTACATTCTTTTTTATTTTTCGACATCCTTGACAGCGACCGATCGACCTCAGAATTTCGAAAATCGTCTACGTTTTTGAGTTCATTATGATTTTGAGATGGAATTTTAGATTAGTTAGTAAGCGGAGAGTGGGCCTCCCGTGCGGGCCGGGGGGGAAGGCGCGGGGCGCGGGGCGGGAAGGGCGACGGCGGTTGCTCAACCCTACCGCCTTTTTGAATTAATCACATTTAAAATAGTATAAATGTCTCCAAAACGAAAATTTTGATATCACAAGTTTGTGTGTCTTCAGTAGCAGTCGTCGCATCAGCAACATGAACACTTTCTACGTGAGTTGTGTCTTTTGTTGAACTCTGATCTGCTTCACTTCACTTCATAGTTAAATCTCAGTTAACTATTACAAGCAAATAGGGAACAATGTACTGCACCAGCGCCGTGCTCTGCGCACTGACATCTCGCTCTAGTCAACACGAACACCAATGACATGATCATTGGCCCTTTGACAGGATGCAGCTTACAATTAGTTAAATACTGGTCACTGGTTTAATATTTTTTAATTAACAAATCATTCTCTATATTTATATTATAAAAAATAAAGATTAGTATTTTTTACGTATTGAAATAACTCAAAAACTACGGAGTCTATTTCAAAACGGACGAAGTTGTGAGCAACAGCTAGTATTAATTATAACACGTTATTATTTTCAATTAATTTAGCTAACTTTTTAAAGTTTCACGTGTTTACCAATTACTTATGTGTAACAAATGACTCGAATTTAGTTTAGCTCTCAAGGTCTCTCATTATAATTCGAGAGCTGACGCAAACGAAACATATCAATATGTCATAATTACATAATCCGTCGTGATTTATGACAAGCAGGTAGACACACGGCCACGCAGACGCACGGCCACGTGGCCACGTGGCCATGTGGCCGTGTGGCCGTGTGGCCATGGCTACGTCACAAATAGAATTACACTTTTGAATCTTTTATTAATGGGAGCGGTTAGTATGTTGCGTGATGTGTTGCGACATCCCAAAACTGTGGCGAATTGACTAAATTGATTTTATTAATGGCCGCTACCTTTAGACCTGAAATATACATCAACATTTTAACTGCTCACATATTTCTTGATTTAATACTTACGTAACAGTCGCTTCAATCAACTAAACATAACTTGTATTCTATTTTGGGAGTCATAAGTTTTAAATTATTTAGAAACAGTGCGCGGCGATGTCGCTGTGAATTTGAATGTTAAACATAGTCACTATTACTACTACTACATTTACTACTTACTGGTTTGTTAGTTATCACGAACGTGTTAAGTCTATAAAAAAACCATTATGTATGATCGCATTGCAGGTACTCGCCTTTGTGACGTTTGCGGCAGCGGC